CCTTAGGTGTCACAAATAGGAATGGCTTGATCTTTGCCAAAAAATGCAGTGCAAGGTCGCGCGTTTTCGGGTAATAAATTTTTGTTTTCCGATTTTGGTTTCCGGTTTTTCCGGGTTTTTTCTTCTTCCTTCGACAGAACCAATAACAGCAAACGGGTCTCATCCAGTAAGGGGGGCATCAAGTGGCTGCCCTCACCCCCCCCCCCTAGACTGCCTACACTCCCCCTGGCGCACAGGTTTCTCGAAGTACGGGACCCCGTGAGCCAGGGGGAGTGAAGGCAGTCTAGGGGGTGAGGGCAGCCACTTGACGTTGCATCACAATGCCCCCCCCCCTTACTGGATGAGACCCCAGCAAACAACTAACCACCCAAGTCTATGTCAAATTTTTCAAGGAAGTAGCGGTAAGCAGTAGCAAAGAATCCTCATATCCATTAGGAGCTTTTATACATAAAGTAAAGGTTCAGTTATTGTGTATAGTTGAGTTATAAGATACCTGTGGATTAAGTAGTAAGTAGGAGAACGCCCATTCCAACGTGGTTATTGTGGTTTCCTGACCTGCTATCCATAGGTCAAGCAGCGACATCAGCAGCATTTCCTTCACTGGAATGACACAAAATGGAGCAATTTCATGTCAAAGGGAAAATTGAGTGCTGAGGTGTTCACCCACTCGAAGCTTGTTGGGGTGCCACTTTCACGATCCTTCTTCATTTGTATCAGGAAAGCATCAACAAAATCATCACCCTCCCCTTGTAGTACGTGTGTTCCGTTAGCTATTTCTTGCTTCCTGAAATAATTCTCTCTTTTTTGCGGCACGAATTCTTAGCGTATTTATCGTGTCTTGAATTCTCAGGGTCTTCATCGCGTCCTAGAAATGTGGATGTCTCTGATTGGAGGAAGGATTGGTCTCACTACCCGTTTATTCATGCGGGTTGCTCATACATGCTCTGTGATTGGCAGTGGCTTTCACGATAAAATTCGCCTCGATATATCCCTTACTCTGACCCTTTGGTCGTGAGGCAAAAGTCGGGCTCAATAAGGGGGTATTATGGCGATTGAAACTGAGTATAGAGATGCGAAGTGGAACGACAGTGGAGAAAAAACTGAGAAAAACCGTCGACAAGGCCGTTAACAAAACCCTCTTTCCCACTAGCAGTGAAGGAGGCTGGCTTGGGAAAGAGGCACGTACAAACAAGTTTTCTGGAGATGTCAGTCGTTCTATCGGTTGATACGGCAATCAACCTAGCTGATTTCACACGTTATGCCAGCCACGCACCACTTCCGGAGGTGGGCGGTCCTGGATTGACCAGGCGGCCCTGGATTGAAACCGAACGCCCCGGGGCCTTAACGGGTTTTTCAAGGTGGAAGTTGCTGCAATGTGTGCAGCTACCCACATACAACCTCCAGGCACGGGAATTACTTCTCTAGCGTGCCTGAGCCCGACCTTTGCCTTTAACCGAATGCTCCAAAACCACGTCTCTGAGCACTCGCCCGATTATAAAAGTGAGCACATTAGAGTTTTTCGGTACCCTCAACCCTACTACTTTGTTTTTACGCGCTATTCTAGCTTTGTCAGGAAATAAGTTGGCGCCACTACCCTTTTCGTTCGTTAGCAATCGATCGTTAAATCGGATTTGTCAAGCATCAGGAAGAAAAAAACGTGCTTCAGGCCCTCATCCTACCCTCCCCAGGAGATGCCCCCCGCACGGATGATCCTATCCTTGGTTGATGACGAGACGGGTCTGCGTCACCACCAGCCGTACTGGCGTTTTTTAGACCTCCCAACAGCGCGACTCCTCTAGAGAAAAGAGCGCCGCAAACAAGGTCGCTAACAGCACGCCTTCACGGAGGGTCCTATGACGAAGCCGGTTGAGGGATAGGTTCCTGCTTAAGCCTTATGATAGTCAGTGACAGAACTGTCCCTCGAGAAGGACAGATATCGGCCTCCTGGTCGTGGTGTGTTACTGACTTTATTCAACGAAATGTGCAATTGAAAGCCATACAGCACAAAGACTTTCTAGAGGGCTTAAACCCGATTTCGGCAGCAGCGGATCATATCCCTTCCCTTGGTGGTCTGAACACCCAGAATTCATAACTCTTTGTCTCCGCTTAGTCCTTCTGTTTTTGTGATGTGCCATTAGATCGCAATCATCGTCTAATCGAAGCTGTTCAACACCAGAAGGGGGTGTCTTATTCAGAGAGCCATTCTTGCAAAGGTTTGTTCATCTCGAGAAAACCTTTCTGCAGATTGAGCCTTTAATGCGCTGATCCAACTGGAAATGTTGCTGTTACCAGTGCAAAATTGTGAAATGTCCTCTTTTGTACGATTTTCAAACGGTTAGCAGGGTTTTTTTTTATTTCATCCAAATATAATGAAGCAGTAACCATTCATTTATGTTGAAACGCTAGTTTATATTCTCATTCGAAACTGATCGCGTACCTTTGCTCGATTTGAGTTCTAATGAAATCCAGCACAGAGTGGAGTGGTTTCATCAGATGATCAGTTCTTCTGTTTCAAGAATGGCCAATTCACATTCCACTCATCGATAAGCATATCGAACAACGAAAAGTTCTCCATCATTTCGTCCATCTTCCTCTTCAACTCGAAGAATTTTCTTCCTGCTTCTATAAATGGTTATTTTTTGAGAATCTTCTGTTCTATCCTGCCTTCTATATTTAGCTGCCTATATAAGGTGTTCATTTTTTATTGAGAACTCTTCATAGTCACTTTGAATGATATACAGAGTTTTGAACAGTGTTGATCTCAATACCACAACAATCAGGGTGTTCCGAAAAGATTCGAGATTAAAAGGGAACGGCACCTTTCAGTGCCAGAAAAAGGCCTTATCAGAAGATTATCGTAATTGAAAGTGAGTGATCATTTTGGTCCTTTTCGCGCCAATAATTCCCGTGCCACATATGTAATTTACCGATTTTTCCATTCTAAGGGTACTCGGAGTCGAGGGGAAGTATTTGCAATACAGTAGTAGCTAACCTTCTCGAATCGATCTGTGAACAGCATCCTGTTGATGATGTTTCCAATCAAGCAACTCGAAATTCTTATGAGCATTGATGGATTTTCCTTCGGTCTCCAACCGCATATTTAAAGCTTCACACCTGTAAACATTTCCAGTAGCAGAAATCCCATCCAAAAATATATTCGTTGTTTTAACTAGCTGGCTGTGTGGCGCACCTTCGTGCAATAAATAAATAAATAACATAAATAATATTGTGATGGCTATCGGTTTATGAGCAGTTGAATAACGTCGAGGTCCTCCAACTATGGCTCTCTCGTGTGCGAGAGTTGTGTCGAGAGTTACTGTACGCGTGAGAGCACAGACGGCTCGAGGGCGGCGAGAGTGAATATCCGCGTAGGAGAGCGTGCACTGAATAAGGCCGTTTTCCTCGAGCGAGCCGTGCAATTTCCTTTCGACTGTTTCTCACCTGGTTATGAGCACTCAGCTGAAGAAAAATGACAAGGAGTCCGAATAGTACGAGCCGTCTTAGTATTGTATCCCTTTCACCATTGCGAGTGTACGACCAAACATTAGAGTAAGTTTTTTAGGCAAAGGTGTCCGGTTGAACAGCTAGTCCTAGTACTTGTGACGAACTATTATTAGATTGGAGGATTCGTAATTTATCATAGTATGAAAGAAGTTGATTCGCTAATTCGTGCCGGTCTTCTTTTGACTGTCTTCAGGACGGGCTCTTTTTTCAGGAATCCTTAAAGGACGAATTTACGATGGAAAAGCAACCCATTCCAAATTGAGGTAGAGATGGTGAGTAGTACCAGAAAGAAAGCGAAACCACGAAAAACGGCCCAGAACCGGAGAAATGGGACCCCTTCCTTGCCCGTTGATTTGAGCATTGATGCGACTCTCATCGCTGTGCCCTCTTCAACACTACGCTCTCTCAGCTATCTAATCACTCGCCACGTATTGAACTACGGCGAGTGATCAGACGATCGGTGGGCGGAGATCGCCGAACTCGCCAACTTTGAGCCATGCTAGATCTCAGAGGTCAAATCTTTCGATGCCGATTGCGTGTCTGTCCGCACCCTCAAGAGATTCACCGCTCTCCCCACTAGGCGATTTCTCCCTTCTTCGACCTTCGTTCTTTCCGTGCAATCCTCCTTTAATTCGTATAGCGTGCGTTACGAAGTTATACGAGACGGGTTCCCCGGGAAGATCATAATCCCATTTTACCTATTAATCACTGGCTTCAAGTTATATTTTGAACTTTGCCTATCGTTGTATACCAGTAATGTAGTAATCCCATTTAACTCACGCGATTTCGAATTCATACATGATCCTCTCTTCAATGATGTTCCTTCCTAGGCCAAAGTTTCGAAGAGTGTGCAGTGCGAAGCGACGCTGTTCCAGCCATGGTGTTCCATTCGTAACAATAATGCCACGACCATCTGGAATATGACGAAAGCAACATCATAGAACGTGAAGAGTTTCCACAAGGGAACGTCAGTGGGTCAGCCCAGCCAATGTAAAGGCCGGATCTTATACCCGAATTGGCAGCCCATTGGAAAAGAGGTTTAAGATGGCCGGTCGCGCTTTAAAGAAGAAAAAACCGAGAAAATGGCTTACAACCCGAGAAATTGGGACCCTTTGCTTGTCTATTGATTTGCGCACTGATGCGATTTTCATCGGTTCTGCTCTCTTGAATGCTAACGCTGCTCTCATGCCTCTCTGCTAAAACGACTAGAGACTAGACCCGAGATGACGGAGGTGCGTATCCGCCCCCAGCGCGCCAACCCAGCCGCAGGGGGAAGCCATGTCGCCGCGGGGCATGTCCTTCGCGATGAGAATTGTAAATATAATTGACCAGCTCCGAGTCTCGTCGGCGCCCGGCCCCGCGCCCCCGGCCGCCCGCTCGAGCTCACCACCACTGTTCCCCCTCCTTCGACCTTCGTTCTTATCGTGGAATCCTACTTTAAATAAAATATATACCCAGACACGTGCCTATAGACGCTGAGTTAAAATGTGCTCGTTAACCCCCCCCCTTGCCCCCCCCCCCCCCCCCGCCCGCCCCCCATCTATGCAACGTAATTTTCCTGGAAGAACTTTATGAAACATTAAAACCACAAACGAGACACGACGTCGTGGTATCGTCCATTGCGAGTTCGTGCTTACCCGCTCTTCTCGGTAATCCATATGCATACCTTCAACACCAAGAGCGAATGCCCACTCCAGCTGGACATAGATCAAATATCCCAATACGACAACATTTGCCTGCATTCACCTACACTCCGCTGGCCGAGAGCTTTCTCGATTCATAACTTCTGTCAAGAAATGCGTTCCACAGGTATGGAAAAAGATCCGAATTCCACCAACTGACAAAACCAAACAAACATCGAAATGCACTTATCGATGTAGACATATCATTTTAATATGGCCAGAAGAGAAACTGACCAATGAAACGCTCCCTTGTCCTGTTGCCAATTACAACTGAAGAGCTACACATCATAGTTCGAATTTCTTTTTTCATTGGCAGAACCTTGGTCGAAGAATAACAAAAAATTACTGTAATAATAAAAAATATAGTATTCTGACTATGACTATGACTCCTCGAGATCTTGTCGCAGACCGCTACAGTTTATGTTTGACAAGATTTTGTTGTAATATTACTAAGTTGTCAAACTCTTTAGACCGCATTCTCCATCCACATACATTCTCTTCCCTGTTCCACCTGATTCGTTTCAAGGCCAAGAGTAGACAAAGAACACCAGGAATTGCATTCTTTGCTCCAGTAATCGCGTAAAAAATCTGATATTCACCTCAAAAGGCAACGGATCCATGTGATGAATGGCCCGTGTACTGAAAAATCGGCATTTTGAGACGAAATCGACGAGAAGACTAATCTATGTATTCTAAGCATTTCGTGTACGGTCGCTTGAGATCTATCAAAGCTTCTGAGGAGTTCCATCGAATTGTCAAATCTAGACGAATCTGTTTTATTTCCAGACAGAAAGTGTTATAAATATATATTATTGTTGCAGGAAGTAATTCATGACCAAATACAAGTGCAAGTTGTAGGGGCAAGCCAAATACATACTGTTCACGACGTCTTGGAGGGTGGTTTATGTGACGTCATCGAACATTTTGTTGGAGGCATAAGGACGTATCACTCATCCCACCTCCCAGTGCGCGTAGGGACTAGTCCCCCAGAGTGCGATTCCATGAATGTTCATCGCAACCGCGCCGCTTAGGAGCTACCGCACCATTGCTTAGGTTCTGCATCTATGTTGATGGCGCACGAATTTATCATAGCGCAAAACTCAGTAGACTTCTTAAGTTGGAGTTTTCAAGGTGTTGAAATTTTTTTGCTTACACTGCATCAGTAAAAATAGTGAAAAATTTCACAAACAACACCACACTTCTCGTTAAGCAATAGTAGAATAAGTACGAAGGAGGAGCCTTCTTCACCATGGCATCAACAGCCGTTGGATAATCGCAAATATTCACAGTTGCCAGCGGTCCAAACCAGAAAGTGTGGACTGGACCGTACTCCTAAATCAGCTGTGATGTTGATTATATCGCAGAGAGAGCTATTGCGTAAGCACCTAAAGAGCCGAATCTTTCAAACCTCAACCCAATCCCGGACAGCATCGACGAAGTTTTTCTTGCTTATAAACATTTTGTAACCGAGTTGATGCACATTACCAATGAAAGGCAAGGGAAGCGGACCTAAAAACATGACTTTTCAATCATATGCCTTTTACAAAACATGCACCTGGCCATGACATATCGAACCAAAAGGCACACTCCCCATCAAACTAGGCGAGGTCAATCCTTCCCGTTATTAGGAAAGAGCTATCCACAAAAGCAGAATATGTGCCATAACGCGCGACAAGGGGGCAGGACACTTGGTAGTGATTTACTAGATGCCGTCCCTTCTCTTCACCATGCAGCTACCTACGCGGCAAGGTGTTTGCGTCTCTCTCGTCCCTTATGCACTCTCTTCTTGGAATCTGTTCCATCGGCGTCAGCGTTTAGGATCTCTATCAATCTTAAATGCAAGCCACGAGATCAGGTTGTTTAGCTGGAAGCATGCCGGAAGTGAAAGTGCTAGGCCCGCATGTGCAGGGGTCGTATTGCCTTTGCCGTTCAGAATCTGGGGTTAGAGTGCTACTAGTTAGGGAGTTGCAACCATTGACTCCCCGTGCAACCATTTCTGCCCACCGCGCTTGTTGTAAGGATCAGCGATGGCCGCCGCGGCTGCACGCAACGTGGGTTACGACATATCGGTGCGGCTATAGTCGAAAAACTCGTCCGAGCACGCCTCTTCCCCTAATACGCTCCTTAGCCCAAAGGAAACGACCCAAACGAGTTCAAGAGAAGAGCTTCAGTGACGTAAGGAGGAAGGATCTAACCGAACTCAACGCCACGGTGGAGGAAGACTTATTGTTAGGTAGAAGAAAGTGGCGACACCTGGCAACAGCAGCGACTCTGCGACGGTGCAAGAATGGCCTTAGGGAGAAGAAGATTTCATAATGCGAATGAATGAGCCGAGGTGTTTGAAGCGATATATTCAATCTGATTGAAGGCAACAGGGAAGGCTTCTGGTTTCACACGACGGAAATCAGACGTTCACCGTCACATTTCCATACAAACCCTGGTGGCAATATTCCTTTTTCGGAGCCTTATAATCTGACGAGAAGAAGAAGCTCACGATACTGGTGACTATTAGCAAGAAAAACATTGTACAAACAGATCTGAAAAAAAACTAAAGTCATCGTTCTCCCTCGGGAAATCTGGAAAAACAGGCAATACAGTGTGGCAAATGGTAGTGGCGAGAGACATTTGCTACCACAATTCGCATACCCGACCCTAAGTTTTCTGCATTTTCGAGGTTCTCTAGAGCGGTTCTCTAGAGGAAAAAACTATTAGATATTTAGCGCCCATTAGGAAATGGGCATAGACCGCGCCCATCAAAAATAAGCATAAATATGCTGAAAAGGCGGAGATGTTGCTCTTCACGTGTTTGTTCGTTAATCCTCACAAGCTTCAACTGATAAGGGCCGGTGAAAATCTTAGACAGAATCAAACTACTGGAATAGATTCCGTAAAACTTCTGCGCTGAAGAGCTAAACGTCGCCCCACGAATAATGAAATAACGAACCAGTTTTTCTCTCCGACAAAACACAATCTCAAACAGGTGGGAAAACAGGGCGACAAGTCAACACCTCGGGAACGGTGTGTGCATGTGACAGGCACTACTGATAGCGACTCTACAGTAGAATCGGAACGGTCACTAAGTTGATTGTACTTTAGGAGACTCCCATTGTTTTCGCACTCCATAAAATCAAATAATAAAAAGATTCCCGATCAAACAACCTTAAAAAAGGATTGCTACGTACAGGCGCTCGCATTATTTATCAACTGGCAAAGCTCTGGTAAGGGATTGATTGCAACGAGCGGAACATTCTTTTCAAAAACGATTTTGACTTGTTTTGTTTGTTAACTGCTGTTTTTGGCCGCAGTTCGCCTTGCGAATGTTTCACAAGAATGCTGGGTTGTGAACAAAACTTTCGCCCCAGGCGGGACTAGAACCCGCACCTCTCGCTTTCCGGGCAAGTGCGCTACCAGTTACGCTACCGGGGCACCATTTCATTCCAACTCAGCTTCATGGTATACTTATCATAGCTTGTCTTTCTTTCAGTAGCGCACCCGGTAAGGAAAGGTGCGGGTCAAAGTTCCGTCTGGGGCGAAAGCTTTGTTCACAACCTAGCTTTCTTTTGATACATTCTTCAGAAGATCCTAAATCAATGCAATTCTTAATCTATCACATCTTACTGTAATAGGGACAGTCTCACAAGGGAGTTCTTTCAGGGTGAGAGCACTCCTTCGAAACTGTTTTTTCAGGCTGATGGGCTCTCATGTGGGCTCTCCAGACTGAGCTTCATTTTCGCTGAGCGACTCCTGTAAACAGAAAAGGCCGATAAAAAAAGTTGCTAGGAATGGGTGGTTTTTACCATATTGCGGGGTTACCAGTGGTTCTTGTAGTGAATATGACACCTAGATACTGTTAGCGCTGGCGCTAATTGGAGTATATTTGGGAGCTCCAATCTGAAGTAAAAAGTTTGATCATCACGGGGAATTGAACCTTGGACTATTTTTGACCACTTTTTGGACTTCACAGAGTCGCCCAGCAAAATGACCAGGCGTGGTACGCCAAGTGCGCAGCGAGGAAGGCCATGCTAGACCGCCGGGGTATGCCCTTTGATGCTAATTGCGTCTCGGTCCACATCCTCAGGAGGTCCGCCTGTCTCTCCACTAGGTAATTTTCCCCTTCGGCCTTATTGTGGAACCCGCCTTTGATGGAAATGAAAATGAAGAACAAAGACAACGTATGAATAATATTTATTGCAACTCAGCACTGTAATTGAGAAGACATGGATAAGTAGAAACTGCACCTAAGAACCATAACAAGGACAAACAAAAACTCTTCCACTTCTGATTTCTCAAAATCAGTCTGCAACAATGACCAATTGTTCCCTTTTTTGAAAAATTTTTGCTCACTTTTTCACACGAAAGTGCCAAAGCTGAATTTTGGAAAGCTCATCTAGATTTGAAACTGCATTTCATTCCTGGTATCAGCCCAATTCGAAAAGCGATCGAAAGTACGGAAGCATTTTTGGTTGACCTCGCTGAATACATATTATGCATATAAAAGTTTACACGGTAACTATTTAATCTTATGGCTAAGATCCATCTGAATTACTGACAAAGGGAATGATAAGACGCCGTTATAATCTGAAAACATCACAATTTCAGAACTTCATGAACGTTCTTTCGATCACATAATTCATTAAGGCAATAAATGGCGCTATCGCAAGATGCGGGGCATTGTGGTGGCGATGCATTTAAAACCGCGTACTAGAACATCTCGCTCCTGTTTGAATCGGGACTAAGCCCCGGGTAAGACAGGAGAGACTCCGGGAGTTTTCATTCCCCCCTTTCTTCCTCCCAGCCTTAGTCCTAGAGAATGCCCCGTATCTTGCGATAACACCCAATAAATTATTATTACAATTATTATGTGAATCATACCAAGTGAGGAGTAAGATGTCAGTAAGAATAGGATGAATGCCGACACCACCCTTCAAAGCTTCCAAATGCAAATACACAAACAAGAACTTGGGTGTGATATTCTCTTTGAAATGAGTTATTTCAGAGCTTTTATGTCCTAATTCTAAACAGCTGATTTTGAACAAGTCACCTCATTTGTAATTTTCTTAATAACGATATTACGCCGCTAAAATAAGTGAATCCTCCGATGTAAGAACCACAGTCACTTCTAACAAAGCAACTCTAAGCGAATATTCTGAAGCAATTCAATAGAAAAAAAACGAGAAACCTAGAATACTACCGAAAGAGATAAATTAAGTAGACATTTGCACCCATCCATAAGGCAGCTCAAGGCAATAAGAACGTATTGGCTCCAAACTGGCTGCGCCAGCTTCTTCCAAGTTATCGTGCAGCCCCCGTAGTGAGCACTTCGGCGCACAATGAACACACTCGGACTTTCTTCTCTTCGCCATATTTCGCTATCGGCATGGTCACCTCCGAACACTTGGCGCACACAAGACGACCGCAATGTCTGGATAGTAAGATTTTACAGAAATCGTTCACGGAAACTTGTTTTCATATTTTCCCACATAAGGCCGGCATCAGACTTTGCGAACCGCGCGATTCGCTAGTAGCAATTCGCAAAGTCTGACACCGTCCTGAAGGCGTAACCTGCGATCACTAGATCACAGTGCACAAAGTTTCTTGCAAGAATGCTGAGTTGTGGGCAAAACTTACTGTGTAACTGGTAGCACAATTGCCCGGAAAGCAAGAGATCCGGGTACGAATCCCGGCTGGGGCGAAAGTTTTGCCCACAACTCAGCATTCTTGTGATAACTTTCGCAACGCGAACTGCGGCGTAAAACAGCAGTTATCCAATAAAAACAAGTCAAAATGGTAACATGCACAAAGTTTCTTTCATGAAAATTGAAACTCCGAAGTCTTCCAAAATCCTCCGTTTAAAAAAAAAACAACAAAAACCTTTCACCAAACAAGGGACTGTCGCGGAACCAGGCGAGGTATTTGAGCAGAGGAAGTGAGGCGGCGCCACTCATCGTATTCAACGTAAGTGACATCATGCCACTTTGTGACCGTTCTGTGGCGGAGATTTCAACAAGTAGTAGTGTTCCTAATTTACGGATTGTTCACTAGAACAAACGTAATTTTTTGCTCTTTTGGTTCTCTTCTTAGAGGATAGATCTTGTGCTAGTTGTATCTGCCTAGTTGTAAGAAAAGATGAATCATTGACTGAACTTACCAGCGCCTCCAAAACCGGGACGGCATGCCCGACCATGCTGCCCGACAGCTTGTGCTCAGAGCACGGGAAACGGTTATCGGCCTTCCATCCCGCGTTCGCCCTGCCGGCGAGGACACGACTATCGCGGTTAAGGCTGCTTTCATAGTTCGCATCGGTGCGGTCGGTGCCGACGGCGCCGACGGCGCCGACCGCACCGACAGTGTGAAGAGCGTCAATACGCGCTCTGGCGCATGACGCGTGCGCTGGGCGCAGATGGGGCGCTCCGGTCGATAATCTTGGTTTTGGTGTATTTCTTGTATTTTTTCGATGTTTTTTGCACTCACTTCATATGAATAAACAAAATTGCTTACGACCAACACACCCGGTATGGCCCACATCCACCCGGAGTTGTGCGACGGGTTCACGACGTCGCTCGCCCGCGGAACAACTGGAAAGTATTAATCAAGACATAAAAGGGCGCAATGTGGCTCGGAGGGGGGGGGGCAGCCGCCGCGCGGGGCGTTGCGGCAACAGGAAATTCGCAAGCCAGGGGGAGTGTAGCCAATTCAGGGGGGGGGGGGGGTGAGGGCAGTCACTTAGCATGCGTGAGAAGCTGAAATGTCCCGTGAAAAGCTGGAATGTTCGAGTTACACTACATCGCTGAGCCGCGCACCGACTTCCCCCCCCCCCGAGCCACATTGCGCCCATAAAAGAATAAGTATGAACAGGAAACACACGAATTAAAGCAACACGGCGCGAAAAAAAAACATCGAAAAGCACAAGAAATACACCAAAACCAGGATTATCGATCGGAGCACGCGATCTGCGCCCAACGTTCGCGTCATGCGCCAGAGCGCGTATTGACGCTCTTCACACTGTCGGTGCGGTCGGCGCCGTCGGCACCGTCGGCACCGTCGGCACCGACCGCACCGATGCGAACTATGAAAGCAGCCTTATGTCAGCAAGATCACCCCTATCACAGCGTCTCCATTCGTCCCTGTCGCGTGCTAGAGTGGTCCAGTGGATCCTCCTTGCTCGAGGGACACGAAGTCCATCATTCCTTTCGTTCAGAGCTTTCGTGAAGAAGTCTGACCATCGGGCCGGCGGTCGTCCAGGTGTTCGTTTGACGTCCCGAGGGATCCAGTCGGTAACCGCTCTGGTCCAACGGTCATCGCAAAATCGCATGACGTGTCCGGCCCACCTTATCTTCGATTTCCTTGGCGAAAACGGCAGCGTCCCTGATCTTCGATCGTTGGCGTAGTTCGAACTCTGGACTCCAGCTTCGGCAGTCGTCCAGCATTAATGTCCAATAAATCAGACCACAGTAGGAAGGTGACGCGTTTCGGTAGATTTATACCGGATTTCAAACCGCGACCGATGCGATGTACTAAGTTGAACGATCACACTGAGTATTTACGTAGACGACAAAATGGCTTTAATTGAAGCACTAAAATCCACCACTAAGCATTACGCCCTGGAGCAAAGAGAAGCTACATCTCTCTGTGCTTTAGGAACTTGATGGGTGGACACTTTAAGTCAGCTATCTCTCATAGGGAACTGACCGACAATGATGTTTCCTGACTGTAATTTGAAAAACGAGTACCACAGTCGCACATGTCACCATCGGACCATCGTGGTTCTCGTTCCAGTGAATCTGAAAACCTTCCATTTTAGTGACATGGAATCCTATATTTTATATCTTGCTGACCTCTCTGTTCGAAAAAACAGGAGCTGTAATAGCTTGAAGCGTACCCGGTGTGTAGAGGAAAAATTCGAGAAGGACAAACCTAAGCAAACCGGAGAAAGAAAGCAATCTTTGTGGGGAGTCTCGTAAAGTTTGAAACATGGTCGCACCATCAACATTTCGGGCACCCATCGTTGCACCGTATCGAAGTAAACAGCGACAGACGTCACCATTTCCGGCCATATATGCCAATAACAACGCTGAAAATCATAAAATACTTTAATTCCGTTGGAATGAAGCCTTTCATATGTAGAGCATTGTCTTAAATCGAATAAACAAGGAAGACTTATTGTAAACGCCAGCCTTTTATATGCGAATATCGAAAGCCGTACTGGTTATATTCAGAAATCAACAATCAAATTTTCACAAAAGTCATTAACGAAAATAAAGCACCGTAACATTCTTATCACATTTCAAACTGAACCTGTATTCAGTCGGCATCCTGCATATCAACATAAGCTGCAAACTCTTTCTCCGAAAGTCTGTTGGCTTCTCTTTTCAGGAGCAGTTCACATATTTCGACTGGTGACCTTCGCGGTGGCAGTTTATCGCTCGACAATGTTGCACACAGGTGTAGGGCTGATTGCCCACTAAACAACTACCTTAGATTGCCACTCGCAGGAGCACGATTATAACTTCGTATAAATTCAAATGCAGTAATTCGCGATAGGCTGCGCGAAGGCAGCAGACCAGCTCGTGAGGAGTATCAGTGGTATCAATAGAGACGTTAGTATGCTGTTATGCGGTTTACCCTTACCTACCCCTCCTCCGTGTGGTAGAGGGTGTGGTCAGACCGCCTCTCGTTCCCCACCAACGTCATCCTTATCAAAGTTGTAATCCCGTCTCCAGCCATCGCAATCACTGCGTATAGGAACATGGAAAGTAAATTAGGCCTAATAAATGAACTTACTTTTTGTTGACAGCATGGGTGTCAATATTCGAACTGGAGACCAATACCTTCACGCAATCTACACTTCCACAACGCACGGCTGCCAATAGAGCTGTAATCCATTTCTTGAACCACTAACTCTTATCCGATTTATTTTGCAAGAACGATTTATAACTGACCATTCTCCCGTCTCTCATCGAGAATATTTGGATTGGCGTTGTTCTCCAGAAGAATTTCAGCATGAAGAAAACGATTGTTCCGGGCAGCCACTTGTAGAGGGGTTGTGCCGTCAGTTGCTGTCACGTCCACTTCACAACCAGCTAGCAGCTGTAAAACTTCAAGCACTCATAAATGGAACTTCAAGGAAGGGCTAGGACACATACTAAATTGCGTAGGATCAACTCGTTATCAACGTTGGCAGCATAAGTGCAGTGCACTACGTCGTGATCCATCCGTGGTTACACGCGTAGCATCAGTGTGTGCACTGAGAAGAAACAGCACACTTTCCAAATCATTCGACTTCACTGATGTATGTAGCAAGTTTTCACCTATAACCAAATTACTTGTAATGGTTCAGAGTTTGTCCTGAGCTGAGCCTGATGTGAACATAAACTGGACTATGAACGCGACTTTTCGTGATACCTCAACTAAACTGGTAACCTTATTATGGAGCGTCGTGAAAGCTCCAGGAGCCTCATGGCGAGATGACTACATTAGTTATGTGTGCAGGTGCCATATAACAGCCCCTGCAGGTTCGGTTACTGCCTACAACACTGCTTTTTTTTTTGTCAGCGTAACAGGATCCAGAGAAAACCATTTGACGCGAAACGGGGGCCATTTCCAATCACTCCTTGATGCTATGAAAAGGAAAGATCCTTTACGGCTATTGGATTTCCACGAGACAGTTCCTTTACTCTCAGCACATGCTTTCTTTTACAAACATGCAAAACTAGGCCACTAGGGCTATTTTTGATAGGAAAACGGAGAAAATTCAAAGGAATATTGCTCTCCTAGCCTGGCCTATCCCGAAGAAAGGATTAGATATGGCCCCAGTTCTCTACTAATGATAGCTCTTTTGGGATGCGCTGCGCATTTTACATCTTCTCAGAATCGCAGTCATGTGAAAGCGATTTGACCTGGTATCTCAACAATATCAATTTCTCAGAATTCACTTAGCTCAGCCAGGCAGAGT